CGATGTCCAGAACCAGTCCTTCAGCTTTGATTCTCTGATCTGAACACCCTTATTCAGTCTCTATGTCTTTGGAAAAGTCATGTTTGATATTATAGTCTAGACTCAGTTGTGCTTTGGGGAATTAAGAGAGACTTGTGTTATATGATTTGGCATTTTGGGGCCTAACCAAATTAGTAGACTAAGGGCAATAGGTTCCTCAAGTCTGACTCTCTAAATCTAGCCCATAATTGAAGCCCTTTAATGTTTGCTAGATTGAATTTAATTTAGAAAGAAAACCTTCAGATAATGTTTATCCATGGGCATTGCTTTGCTAATATACATGCTGAATCACGTTGACCAATTACGTGGGCAGATTGTAAGCCTGACACTTTTAGTTTTCCACCAGCAGATTTAGTGCCTTACCTATCTAACATAACCTTTATTTCTTTCTTTTTTCAAATGTTTGTTTGTTTATTTTTGAGAGAGAGAGAGAGGGAGAGAGAGCAGGCACAAGGTGCGGAAGGGATAGAAAGAGAGAGAGATGCAGAATCCAAAGCAGGGTCCAGGCTCTGAGGTGTCAGAGCAGAGCCCGATGTGGGGCTTGAACCCACAAACACTGAGATCATAACCTCATCCGAAGTCAGATGCTTAACCGACTGAGCCACCCAGGCGCCCCTAAAGTAAACTTTCCTATGACTTAATTGAGTCCTGAATATGGCCCAGCACCTGACAAAATCTTGTTCAAAGGATCTGATATTTGAGAAACGCAGTCCAATGAACATGATAAGTTCTCATTAATCTGTGACACACATGCCAAGTTCTATCACACACAATTAGATCATCATCAAACTGACTACCTGGGCCACAGTCCCTCTCAGCCTCCTGGGGCTGGGTGTCTTCACTGACAAAGATTTAGCATCAAGAGGCAGGATGGGGCAGTCAGAATTGTGCCTTTTGAAATGTGGTCATTAAAAGTACTGTCCACTATGCAAGCTCACTGTTCTTAATAGAGGATAAAAAATTGTATTTATTTCATATACACATGAAATTGTCTCTATAGATAACTATAAGACTTCTTTTGTCAAAAAATGAAATTTATATAATCTTTGCTCCTCTTTCCACTACATATATCAAAGCCCTAGGCCTAAATTTGTCCTCTGGTTATATTTGCTGGCTCATTCCAGATGCTTGATAACATTTAGTTTTTCTGTTAGATGGCTTAATTTATATGTAATTAATTTGCAAACCACCTGAAATCCTTTTGGAAACAAGTGAGGTACAGCACTGAAACACATAAATCCCTTATTCTTCCCGGAGATCAAACCCAAAAAGTACTAAATAGCAAGACCAGTATAAGGATATTTTATTCAATTGCCTTTCCAAAATGGGGAGTTGGATAATCATTTATAGGCGAAAAGTCAGTGACATGAGTGAAGATTAAGTTGGGTGGTCCATTATATTTGATGAAAAAAATCTCAGCCAGCCAAAAAAATAAAGTATTAATATATCTTCTTCAGTCAATAAAAGGAACTTTGCTGGCATCCACATAATAATTTGTCCTTCAGTTAGTCCAGTGCAAAATGCTCCTTACTGGAATGATAATCAGTAGCAACTCTGGTGTGTCTTAGTTATATTCTCTTCCCCTAGAGATCTAGAATAATTTGCTAAGAGAGCAGGGGTCACCCATAAATCCTGACAGTGTCAATGCCATGTCAGCAGACTCAATTCAGAGAATGAAGAACACTGGGGCTGCATTGCTGTGTTCAGCAGCTACTCTATTAACTCCCTGCAGCAGACTTATGGGGCTGACCAGGTCTTCACGGATAATCCAAAAGGAAATATTGAGAAAGTCACACAAGATATCTTACATACATATAGCAAAATTATAATGCAGAATCAAAACTGACATAATAATAAAAATCAAGGAGAGGTGTAGAAAACAGGTGAGTGTGCTGTACATCGGTTAGTGTTAATTGGAACTCTGAGGTACACATTTACCACTGGCTAGAATCTGCTTTATTGCTGCATAAATTAGCCAGTCCTGCAGAGAAGCATAGAGAACAATCTGTCCTGTTGTGTACTCCCTTTAGCTACACCATGTTTGTTTCAGCCTCATATCTGCTTTGGAAATGCACATCTACCGCATGCAGGAAATTTCAGGGTGCTCTCCTTGCTCTTAATTCCAGCTCTCTTTGCTGACAGGTAGCCATTGTCTAGGTCACATCCTCAGCCCACAAAGAACTACGAGACTGTATCTGCCTTTCTTCAATGATATGTCACAGCCAGGTAACAGATATCACAGCCTCCTAAGACAAGGGCTGCTATTGTTTTTAAATTTACCTCTAACCATCTAATCAATATCTCATTCGATTCAGGTTCCTGAGGCATAAGATTTATGGTTATGATTTGCAGCTAGCTCTTAGCAAACAGGGCTTAGTGACCTTTCCTTTATTGTTCTGACCAGATAAAATCTGTTCCCATCTGTGTTCCACAGCATCTTACTTTCTAGCTGCTGTTTCTGTTACATCCCTGAAGAACTGGGACTTAGAAAGACCCCACTGAGGCTGGCCAGGGAGAGGCCTTGGTACCAAAGTACAGATGCTGGATTACTAGGCAATAGAATTACTAGAGATTTGGAACCTCAAACGGATTTCTTTAAGCTGTCTGTGAAGACTAGTTCTTCTCACACCTCCGAAAGCAGGTCATCAATCACCAGCCAGAGGGGAGCCTCAAGTGTTGGGGTGTAAGCAACCACATGGGCCTCCTACAAAGTACAATCAAATTAAAGCACGGCCTTTATTCAGAGTGCAGACAGGCCTCATTAATTAGGGATGACTGGAGAAAATGGCTTTGTAAATCAGAAAATGCTCTGAATTTTAACATATTTTACACAAAAGCACAATGTGATTATTTTAAACCACAGGCAAGGTTAATGACGTGGATCTGAGATCTTCATTGATCTTTAATCAATAAGTTAGCATTCATTTGTAATTACCACGTTCATTGTTTTAAGGTAAGTGGATGCTTTGGAATTTCTTGAAGGAGTCTGGAAATACTGTAATTTGTCCTCTAAAATTCCTTAAACATTGCCCCAATCTTCAGCATCAGGAAATCTCTGAACAATGTCACAAAGACTTCAAACACTATGCTGACATAAATTTTCAAAATGTCCTAATTAGAAGATGCGGTTTAATGAGGTTTGTATTATATGGTGAATTACAGAAATAAAACCAGAAGAATGCATCTTCAAGACAAGAACTTCAGTTTTAACACTGATATGCCCTGTTGATGCTTGACTTAAAGAGGTGCTTCACTTTGTCCTTCCAAATGTAAAATTAGGTTTCAGGCCAGCTACGTCACTGAATCCCAAGGATACAGTTAATGCAGTAAGAACAGAGCTCTGCAGTGAAGTGAGCTGACCGGTACTCTTGAGTCATTAAAACTGGTGAAGGCTTCCAGCAAGCTGATGACAATAGGGTAGGAAATAGCTTTTATATTAGTACAATCTGAATTCTTATTAATTTTTATAGAACTAATGAATTATAAGAAGAGAAGGAAAAATGAACCCCTAGAGTCACCTACGGGAGACACTACTGGCATGATTAGGAGCTTTGGGGCTGAAATTCTGCCTTTCCTAATTTGCTGGCTCTGGGATCCTGGACCAGCTACTTCTTGTTGTTAAGCTTTGGTTTCCTCTTCTGTAAAACAGGGATAAATAACACTTTTTGAGTAAGTGATATTTGAAAAATGCTTAGCCTGTCATCTGTCACACGGTAGCGACTTCAAAGATGGTATTACTTCTACAGCTATTGAGAATTCTAGTTGTAGTATATGCCCTCTCTCCAGTTTCATCTAATCCCATTTTCCCCTCATGAGTAAGATTTTAGCAAAAACACTACTTCACATGCTGTGTTTGAAATCCCAGTGCTGATGCTGTCATTGTTGATGATGTGTCAGGCACTGTGCTAAGTGCTTTACATATACTCTCTTTTTTAATTCTCACAGGGGGCCCAGTGAGGGAGTGGTGATATTATAACATTATGGTTTAATTTCATAATTCAGATTATTTCATCTTAAATTTTTAAAAATATTTATTTACTTTTGAGACAGAGAGAGACAGAGCATGAGTGGGGGAGGGACAGTGAGAGAGGGAGATAAAGAATCCGAAACAGGCTCCAGGCTCTGAGCTGTCAGAACAGAGCCTGATGGGGCTCAAACCCATGAACCATGAGATCATGACCTGAGCTGAAGTGCAGACACTTAAGCGACTGAGCCGCCCAGGTGCCCCAGATCATTTCATCTTATAAATGAGGAAACTGATGGACACAGAAAGAAAAGTTAAAGCCAAATTGGAACTCAGGAAATCTGGATCCTCCTCTATCCTGCTTCCTATTTCATTTCTCCTGCCGCTGATGAGGTTTCCTATGCTCAGACCTAGCACTGGACTGGTGTTTACACTCAGAGTGGTACTAGTCTGGATGTCCCAGTTGCCATCCAGTGGAGCACATAATACTAACTCCTTTCTCCAGGGATATGAACTTACTCAGGATACAGAATTTTGTTACTCATTATGAAACTCTATAGGAGACAGACAATAAAAGCAAAAGATGGTGTCTATTTTTTGGGGTTCTGAAGTTTGGGCCTCATCCAGATATTCCACCATATTCTCATCTGCAAGGTCAAGACGCTGACATCTAAAGTCTGATTAGCGCCATCTGACCTATTTCTAATAGTCTCAGAAACTTCATCTTGGAGAAGGGTTTGTACTTTCCAGTCGTGATTCCTTGAATTCCTCCCGCCCCCATTTCCCATGATCTTAGTTTATTTGTCCTGTTAGGAAATAGGCGCGCCTATATAAAAGCAAGAAAACACAGCAGGAAAAGTAGAAAACCACAGCTCTCACTGACTGGTAGACAGGACCCCTGAAGGTCATCTGTCTCAACCCCCTCTTCATGCTGGGAACGGAGGGCTCAGAATTGTTTCTTGTACTTTCAGGGCAGGTCATACTGCAATGCTCTTACCCTTGCCGTGAAGTCCACAGCAGCCGCTCGGTTTAACAGCAACGTGGCTACATTGATATTCCCATAGTGAGCAGCTATGTGGAGCGGAGTGAAGCCACTCTGTAAAGAAAACATAACAGACATTCAATGGACTCTTGCTTGCCCCTTGTCTGACACATGAAAACCATAACCCTGCCCAAAGAAAAAGGAGGAAGCAAAATATGCTGAGGTCCACATTCCATTCTGTACTAGGTTTCTTTCAATTAGTGCCAATTGTTCACAGGGTTTCAAATAAACGCCAAACTCATAGGCAGAGGAATAGCCAGGAAGGAACCAAGGGTGCAGACTGAATAATTTTAGTAGTCCAGTAGCAGAACTATACAGAAGCCAACATTTCAAAAAGTCAAGACAGGAATGACAAGAAAAATCCATAGCTTATAGAAAGTTTGATTAGTACTGCTGTTTTATTATCAATGATAGAATTGTTCATTGAAACTCTCTGTCAAAATACAATTTGTTTAATATATTTAATATAGAGCAAATGCCAATTTTAATGATAAGAGTAATTTTGGGGGAGGTCACTACAACTGGTCTTGTATAATGGGTAATTCCATTTTATAAAGAATCCACAAGTTGGTCTCTTTATTAGCAAATGCCTATTCAATAACACATGTTTCTAGCTTATTCATCCCAAGGTCATTTTACTTCCTTAAAAAATGCTAAAACATGCAGCGATTCACTTAGTCCCCAAAGATTGAAACCTTATAGGAACTAGATGCATTTCTAAGTTGTTAGCAAGCTTCTTAGCCATGCTAGCTATCTGACTGAGTCTTGTGGGAAGGGGTGGGGCATACTGCTACCATTCAGAGGTAACCTTCATTTTGCTGACACCACTGAGGCTAAGTGTCATGCAGAACTCTAAAGAATCAGTCCTGGATGAGTAGAATGACAGGGTTGTCTGCAGCTTCAAGTATAGCTGATAAGCATCTAAAGCATCAAAACTCTTCATCTCACACAACTCTATTGTGATACCCTTAAGTCTCAAGGATTCCTCATTCTTCCCTTCCAACACCAGGTTCAGCTGCAGAAAGCCCTGGTAATCAAACTACTATCTTCTCTGGCACATGCTACTTTGGGGGGCAGGGGTGGAAAGCAGGTATCTAGCCTACAGAAGGCAATGCAAAGAAGGAGGGAAAGAAATGAGGCAGCAGCACTAAGTGATGGGGAAATGATGATGCAGATACAGATTCTATGTATATGTTTATATATGTACCTCTGTTGTTCTATTCACCACCATCTAGGTTAACACATTTGGAAGCAAAGAGGAGGAAAAAATGAACGGTTAGTTCGCTGTCGGTGATATGGACGGCAGCAAGCTCATGACAGCTAAATAATGAGGATGAAAGCAATGATGGGAACACAAGAGGCACAGAAAGAAAGCTAGACCGAATGAAGGGCTACACAATGGCCCCTTCCAAATGGCACATTTCCTTCACAGAGACTTTCAGGGAGTACATGTCAAGGCAATGGGGATTTTTGGCTGGGACTCTGGCTGCTGACATGCTCTCCACAACTGATCAATACTCAGTGCGTTGCCTGTCATCTGAGATACCAACCAAAAGTTCATTTGTGCACATTGTTGTTAGCATTTTCTAATCTTCCACTCTGATGTTTGAGCTGAAGTGTTAAATTCATGAAAAATATATGGTAAAAGGAAGGAAACTAACAGTGAATACTAATGGACACCTGAGGTGGCCTCCCTGTTAGCATGCATTGGGCGGTGTCCACAGTTATTATCTCCTAGCTTTAGATGCCAAGGGGGCTGTGCCCTCAATTGGCTGGCTTGGACACATATTTTTATTCCTCCCAGTGAAGTTCAGGGTTTGGGGCAAGCTTGCCCAAAGGGAGACCAGGCATTCTTACAGTGTGGGTGCCTGACGCAGGAGAGTGGCGCGATAAGCTCACCTCCTTTGTGCCTCACCTTTGACTCCACGTCTGCATTGTTGTCATTCTGCAGCAGCAGGGCAGCGGCTTTCGTGTCGTCTTTCCGGGCAGCAATGTGAAGAGCTGGAAGACGCACTTTTCCTTTAGTGTCATTTTCTAGCAGGAGGGAAACTACTTGATCATGACCTTGTTGCAAAGCTACTGCCAACGGTGTGAAGCCATCCTGCAAATAAATGGATGGGTCAAGAATGGCAACTGGGGATATGTTCTTTCTGATTAACAAATAAAGAATGTGAGCAAGTGACCGATTTTTGTTTAGGGTTCTTAAAGCTAGTGTATTCAAGTAGGCAGACATGTGAACAGACATTTATATTTATATTTACATTTATATTTATATATTTATACTGATATTTATATATTTACCAAAGCATAAAATAATAAGAAATTTATAATAAGTTTATGGATTTTCTTCTGTTAAAAAGTGATATACATTAACTGGGTGAGTTTTGAAAATACATAAAAGTACTACATAAAGAGAAAAAAGGCACCATAATTTCAATATCTAGAAAATAACTGCAGTGAAAACAATAACACTTCAGGTTAAATCCAAGCAAAATTTTCAAAGGATCTTATTTAAATAAGCTACACAAGGTTCCACTGATATTTAAATTTTTTTAATGTTTATTCATAATTGAGAGACAGAGTGAAAGTGTGTGTGAGTGGGGGAGGGGCAGAGAGAGAGAGAGAGAGGGAGACAGAATCTGAAGCAGGCTATAGGCTCTGAGCTGTTAGCACAGAGCCTGCTGTGGAGCTCAAACTCATGAGCTGTGAGATCATGACCTGAGCTGAAGTCAGATGCTTTACCAACTGAGTCACCCAGGTGTCCCCAACTGATATTTTAAAACTGGGGGATATGCCTATCTGGTTCATCAGTGTACTTTGTTGCCTAGCATTTATCTGGTAGTCAATCTGTATATGTTAATTAATGAATCATAGTAATTGCTGTTTTAAGAAAGGCCTTTAAGAAAATTTCTTGGCTTCTCTGACCAACGAAGGGAGAACACACAGGGATCATGCAAAATATGACTAGGATCAACTCAGATATGCACTCCTGTCTGTATACTTTGAGTCTTCCCATTGTATTGCCCTGGGACCTGACAAAGAGAAGTCAGCTACACACTACACTGTGGTTAAGTAATTTGTGGATGATCTAGTTTTGCTGACTTCAGAATTAACAGCACAGAGTAGGAAATCCCAAGACTGGCTCACAAATTTGAATTCTGAAATGTTTTTATTATTAGACACTCAAAAGAATATTGATAAATTATTTTTACTAGGGAACTGGCTAGTTACTTATTTCACTTGGCTCATGATACTATATATTGGTAGCCCTGGTGCTCCAAGTAGAGAGCTACTTCAGTGGAAGGGTGTTCAGGAGGGAGAGGAGAAAATCTAGTTGCTTGCATACTAATGTCTTGTTTGTCTTCCTAAACCACCACCTTCATCATTCTTTTCCTTGCTAGACAACCAGATAAGGGCTCCTACTACTTATTTGACTGAATACATATCAGTATATTTCTTTTTAAGGATGTGTAAAATTTTGGCCAAATACCTAAGGGACAATATTGGCCAGGCTCTTCTCATATAAATCCTTTCCTGCAGTCTCCTTATTAGCCGTGGATGTGCAAACTATTTCTGCCCTGGCTCCTATACTCATGCTATGCCCCCACCCTGAAATGTCCTCCACCTTGCTCTATGTATATGAATTCTATCTGTTCTTCATGCTTCGATATCCAGCTGAAGTCCCATCTGCCCCTTTCAACTTTACCAAGAAGACATATATAAGGGAAAGAATGATCATTAATGTAGCTTGAAGGACTATGCCCGTAGTGTTAAGAAAGACAAGAAAGGCTGAATACAACCAAGACATCCCCAAAAGAATATCACAGATTTACAGTTAAGGACATAAAGTTTAGAATGTAATTTAATGTTATGAGAAGAGTAATCTAATCTACATAACTGTCTAAATATATGACATCATTTTTGTAAAGATAACATGTACCAAAAGGTCTTAGTGAATAAACAAAATTTTCACTTGAAGGAAAATTAACAGTGGCTCTTCTTTTTGCTTTTGCCTATACTTTCTTATTTACATAATCTATTACTTTTGCAAAACAAAAGAAAAATACATTTTTTAAAGGATAGAGAGGCAAAAGGAACATTGTGTATTAAGAGTGAACATGGAGGCGCCTTGGTGGTTCAGTTGGTTAAGCGGCTGACTCTTGATTTCATCTCAGGTCATGATTTTGTGGTCCTTGGATTGAATCCCGTGACAGGCTTTGTGTGAGTGTGGAGCTTGCTTGATTCTCTCACTCCCTCTCCCTCTGCATCCCACTCCTTCCCCTCCCCCGCTGCCAAAAAAAAAAAAAAAAAAGAGTGAATGTGATGGCATCTCCCTTTTAAAACCCTGACAAAACACATTAAAAATTTTTTTTAAAAGGGGAGGGCACCTTGGGTGTCTCAGTTGGTTAAGCGTCTGACTTTAGCTCAGGTCATGATCTCACGGCTAGTGAGTTAGAGCCCTGTGTAGGACTCTGTGCTGACAGCTCAGAGTCTAGAGCCCTCTTCGGATTCTGTGTATCCCTCTTTCTCTGCCCTTCCCTACTTGTGCTCTGTCTATGTCTCTCTCTCTCTCTCTCTCTCTCAAAAATAAACTTAAAAAAATTTTTTTTGTTAAACCTAGACAAAATCTAAAGGGTAAAAATGACAGCCCATTTCTGGTTCTGAATCATAAGTAAATGGCTACATTTCTGCTAATACGAACTACTAAACCCACAGGGCCTATACATAAAGGAAAGGACTTTGCACCAGAAAATTAACTGCAATGGATACCATCAGCACCCCCAAGAATGTGCTTCCTGCAATAAGCCAATTAAAGACACAAAGATACCAGCTCTAAGGTGTCAATAGCTAAAATTAACAGCTCCAGATTTTTGTTGCAAACCTAGTTTAAACAGTTTGATTCGCTCTGTGCAATTATTCTTAAAAGAAAAATATAAGCCAAAAGAAACTGCTAGGGAAGGTCCATGAGAACCTTCATTGCCTTGGGGATATAATAAGTGCTTAGTAATTACTTGTGGGGTAAATGAACTAATACATTTATCTCATGTTTAATTAGCAAAAGAAGGAAGATATATATGGAAAAGATATGCAGTACACAGTTAATACAGAAAAGGGTTTTTCTCTTAAGATTTTTATTTTTTGAAATAATCTCCACACCCAGTGGAGATTTCCACACCCACGGGAGATCTCCACAACCCTAGGATCAACAGTTGCATGTTCCACCAACTGAGCCAGCCAGACACCCCCAGGAAAGATTTTAGAAACCATAATCAGGGACACCTCAGTGGCTCAGTCAGTTAAGCATCCAACTTAAGCTCAGGTCATGATCTCATGGTTCCTGGGTTCCAGTTCCTGAGATGTCAGCACAGAACCTGGAACCTGCTTCAGATTCTGTGTCTCCCTCTCTCTCTCTGCCTCTCCCCTGCTCACACTCTGTCCCTCAAAAATAAAGAAACAGTAAAAAAATTAAAAACCATAATCATGCCAAAGACTTAGCAGTAAGTTGGACTTAATAATTGCTTCTAAAGGAGAGATACTTAGAGATCTGTACATCACAGTTTAAAAAAGAATACTGCCTGTCCTTCACAAGCAAAACGAAGTACTATGAAATCACTTGCATTAGGGTATTTATATTATTTAGTAGTTTTATCCAAAAATGGGAATGGGTTTTTCTCTTATCCAACAAATAGGCACTGCTCTATGCCTACCAAATGTAGGTTTTTTCTTATCAGCCAGTAGTTCTTACCTGCTTTTAAGAATATTGTTATAAAAACAATACATTCTCATGATAAAAACCCTCAATAGTACAGAAGGGTATAAACTGAAAAGTAAATCTCTCTCCTATTGCTCAGAATAAACCACCAAGAACAATATACCATGGGCATTTTCTTCTCTCAGTACATATAGTCTTGCTTGATGTTTGATAATTCCAAATAACATGTTATTGTGTGAGTATAGGAACATTATGAAATAGGCTTCCTACTGGTGCATATTTAGGTTCTTTCCAGTTTTTAAAAAATTGTTCTAATTCTGTTGGTAAATTTCTCATATATCATTTTGGCATCTCCTTCTAATATATCTGGAATGTAAATTCTTAGAAGTGAAATTATAAAAAGGTATGTAAATACTAATTTTTGACAGTTAACTGCTAAATATTCTGCAAAAGTGTTGCAACCAATAATCAACTTTACCAATACTGTAGGAATGTTCCAATTTCTTCTACTCTCCAATTCTCTTTCTTATCTCCTGGGCAAAAGACTTGGGTCTCATTTCTTAACTGATTAATAAATTAATATTTCTTTGACCAAGAGTGAGGATGGGATATTTTCATACATTTATGGTCATTTGTATTTCATTTTGTCGAAACTGCCTCTTCATTTATTTAGACATTTCCCCCAGAAGGCATGACCTCAAAAGCTGGGTGAGGTTGTATGCAATTCCTCTATTGATATCTTTCTTGTGCCATTTGGAAAGCACATCAGAATGTAAGGGGAGCCATGTTCTGACAGGGATAACCCTGTATTTATTTTTATTATTTTGTTAAAAATAAAGAATACCCAAAGATCAACATCTTTTAATATTAGCAAAAGATTTTTTAGTTATTTTTTTTTACATTTGAGAGATATATAGAGAAAAAAAGCATGAGTGAGGGAGAGGGGCAAAGGGAGAGAGAGAACCTTAAGCAGTCTCCACATTCAATGTGGAGCCCAACAAGGGGCTCAATCCCAGCACCCTGGGATCATGAACCGAGCCAAAATCAAGAGTCGGATGCTCAACTGACTGAGTGACCCAGGGGCCCTGGCAATAGATTTCTAGTGATACAGTTCACCAGGAATCATAATCTTCTCTCCCGTTTAGTTTAAAAAATAAACTGTATTACTTAAGACAGTCCCACTGACTTAAATAACTTTTTATTTTAAAATAACTCTTCTTTGCCAGATCACAAAATTTTCTTCAATACCATGTTTATCTAACACTTAAAACATAATAGTTTTGTTGAAAAGTGTGAATTAAATCCAGTTAATTTTAGAAATGCATACATTCAATTATTATAACTACACTAACTTATATTTGGAAAAAAGATTTCAAACTATTACAAACATATTTTGAAATGGTGGTTGCCTGTGAGGCAAAATTATAAGAAACAGAAAAGTGTTCTAAAACAAATATGTAAATAATAAATAAGTAGCTCAATTATAAGATGGAAGCAGCCATTTAAGAGCAGAAAGGATATCTACACAACAGGAGATTCTTTAAAGACTAAGAATAGATTGTCTAGTATATTTCATAAACACTTAAGAATCCCCACATTAATATATGACTACAATTGAAATACCAGTGGGACAAATTCTCCCACTCCAGCCTTACAAACAACTCCAGCCTTACAAAATTCCCTGTACACATGTGAACCTACCCATAGAAAGAACCAATACATCTTACCTCTGTGGCGAGGCTCTGGCTTGCACCGTTGTCAAGAAGAAACTTGACAACTTCCAGGTGGTTTTCCTGGGCTGCCATATACAATGGCGTGAAGCCATTCTGCAAAAGAAGAAATAAAATGTTTGTTTATGGCTTTCTGAAACCAATCTAGTTTTCCACTGTATTGTTATTATTTGTTTCAGAAAATACTCATGCATTATAAGTTTAATAATACTTTAGTGTAGATATTCATATTCATTAGAAAGCCTAAGCATGATAGTTTAAGCAGAATTTATAAGTGTCATTCAAAATGCTTTATAATTCATAACATACAACACAATTTATAACTTGGGTATAGTTCATAGTTAATAGTGTATGTATAATTCATACCAATAGATCCACTTTAAATAAATAAGTACATTTGTTTAATTGTCAACCTGTTATTGAGTGCCTACAATGAGTACAGGATTTTCCTAGATGATGTGAGGATTTGAAGAAAAATGCATTTGGTCATTGTCCCAATAAGCTTTATTCCCCACACAATATAATTAGCTATTTTAAATAAAAAGTGTAACACTTTCAAATTAAATTAAGAATCTAAAATAGTTCACAATTTGAAAGGGATTTATATTAATTTCAAATACCTTTGAACTTGCCACAGATGGGGTGACTTGGAACAAAGGAAAGAATACCAATATGCAATAAGGTATACTTCACTTTCAAAACAGAATTCAATTAGTAGTCTATTTTTTGGTAAGTTTCCTTCCTTGCATTGTTCTACAAAGCCATAGTATTTTCATGTTGAGAATACACACACAAATACATTCACACATATATACACACACACATATAGTCTATATGTATATTTATGTTTGTCTGAAATGTAGCCACTGCCAAAGAATCTAGATTCAAGTAAATGAATGTGTCCATTGCATCTTAAGCTTTTTGTTAAAAATAAGTTGCATAGTGTGTTTTCTAGAACAACTTATTTTACATCTATGAAATATTTGAATATTTCACCTATGTAATATTTTAAAATCTTATTGCCAAATATATACATCAAAACAGATATTTTTCAAACTAAAACAAATTTTCTTTGAATACATTTTTCAGAATACAATTTTATTTAATTGTATGTTCTGGAAATTTAATTGTATGCATTATACAATTACAAAGAATAAAAGTAAATATATTCCAAATAAGATGTATGAAATGTTACTCAAACTTTTCTGATTCAAAAGGTTTAGGTTCATCATTATAAATATCAATGACTATATGATTACCTTACTTATCTATAATTCAGCCTCTGGTGACATCATTTTTTTGGCTTTTAGCTGAGAATTTAAAAGTAAGTTAAAAAGATCCTTAAGTGGGGTGCCTGGCTGGCTCAGTCGGTTAAGTGTCCAACTTTGGCTCAGGTCATGATGTCACTATTGGTGAGTTCCAGCCCCATATCAGGCTCACTGCTGTCTGGCACAGAGCCCACTTCAGATCCTCTGACCCCCTTTCTCTGTCCACCCCCCCACCTCAAAAATAAAATAAAACAAAAAAATTAGAAAAAAAAATCCTCTAGTGGATAAAATTGATGTCATGTAACAAATATACCATAGTATATATACTTTATTCATCAGAGAGCTCCTCTATTCTACTTACTCTATTTTACACATAAAGCTAGTTTATGTGTATATGGTTGCCAAGCTCAAAATTAGAGACATGAGATTAGAGGCTGGAGAATAATGACAGAGCATTCAAGTTTCTTCTCTTTAAATTACATCACTAAAGTTTACTGCTATTCTGTTCTTTCATGAAAGGTTTGATCAACATTAAGCATGGAATAATTGCAACAAAATGTATGTGTACGTGTGTGTGTGTGTGTGTGTGTGTGTGTGTGTGTGTGCTCATGCATACATGTATCTGTGTATGTGGCTGGTGTGTTTCGTCTTTGGCACTCTTCCCATAGCTTTGAGGGAAACTGAAAGGTACTTTACGATTATCCTTATATTACTGATTATTTTTTTCATTTACTTATTTGACCAAGATGGATCATTATTTTTTCATTCTCTTATTTGACCAAAAAGATCATTTAATCCTTGGTTGAGTTAAATATCCCTTTAAAAAACACAGAAAGGTAAACAATTGAAAATATTAAGAAGAAAAAAGGTAAAAACCAGGGTGGATTTCTGTTTTAGCTTAGTAAACTACTAAGAATCTGTCTTTCCTCATCAGCTGAAATTTTCAGATGGAAGGTTCAGATTTTAGGAGTAAAGTTCTTAAAAAGTTTGAAAATAGTTGTTATTCTCTCAAACATAAAAATCAATGATTTATATCAGTGGATTCTTTCAAATTCAGGGCAGAGGTTTGCTGTTCAAGATTACCTAAGGAACACTGGTCTACCTACAAATACCTAGCTTCTGGCCAGATGTAATTAGACAGTTCTTCAGTTTATATTCCAGAACCAAACATTTCATGACCCAGGAAGATAATCCCAAACCAGGTACTGAGGTTTAATGGATGCTGGAGCTTACAGACCTGGAGCTTTCAAAGAATGATTCATAAGAAGCACAACTTTTAAATCATTCCACATGCCATTTTCACCACAGCAGAGAGTAAATTGTGTAGAATTGTGATTACTCAAAAATCATATGTAGATAAGAATCACAGCAAGATTGAGCCCTGTAATTAATCGTTTCCCACATTCGTGTCTCTCTCTTTTTTTTTTTTTGTTAGTGCTTGGCATTCTATTGCCATTACCTGAAAGCTGGCCATTTTCTGAATGGTCACATTCTTTCATATTTTTTTAGTTTTGTATATTTTTATTGATATATAGTTTACATACCATAAAACTCACCCATTTAAAGTGTATAATTTAGTGGGTTTAGTGCAGATGAGCAACCATCCCCACTATCTAATTCCAGGACATTTTCATCACCCCAAAAAGTAACGCTGTACCATTAGTCCTCATTCCCCACTCACTCCTCCCCATGCCCTGTGGCAATCACTCATCTGCTTTCTGTCTCTATGGATTTGTCAGTTCTGAACACTTCATATAAATGGAATCACACAATATATAGCATTGAATGGGGATGAATGGTCTCATTTTACTTCTGCTGTTCATGTTGATAAAATGTTTTTGGTGTTTTTGTTTTTTCCTCCACAAAGGACATTTCCATTGTATAGTGGACATTTGACATATTTTGTTTTGCTTTAGTTTTGGTCATCAAGCATCTGTTTCTCTTCTAGCAATATCACTCCTCTTCTCTTTAGGGGAACTACCTCTTCCCTGAAATGTAGTTAGTGCCTGTCTTGGTTGGACTGTAAGAAAATTTAGCCTGAACTTCTTCAACCACACTGTAGATACATGTGCAGGATATCTTCTGCTTGCTCTTCCAGGTCTACTCTCTATCTCTCTCAATTCCATTTTCTGCCAAATCCCTCTATCCCCCTTTCAAATGATCCGTAAAAAACATTATCAGAGGGCAACTTTACCATTTAGCTTCTGGTTAAACCCCAACTCTCTGGTTTCCAAATCTTTCCAAAAAGCTTCTTTAGCTTTCTATTCAATGTGTTCCCCACATAATTTCAATAAATTCCTTTTTTTGTTCAAGTTAGTTTCTGTTGTTTTAAATCAAATAACCCCAATTAATACAAATTTTAAAAAATCAAGAAAGGATCAGCATGGCATGAGAACACATGTACATCATCTAGTTATGGTTCTAGGGAGTAATTATAAACATACTTTGGAAAGACTGAATAAAAATATGATCATTATTCTCTCATACAAAGAGGCTTAAAGCACAAGTATTTCAATGTATTATCAGTGGAAAACCTACAGCTGAAATGATTTTTTGTGAAATAGCACCTGCATTGGGAGAATGGTCAGATTTCAGAAAGAATATTATTTTTCTTTTAAGAGAAAAAAGTACAAAACTGGCTTTTTTTTTCCAAATTAATTTCCTAACTTAGGAAATTTCCAAAACAAAGAACTGGCCAGAAAGGAACATATGGGTGCCCAGTTTATTATTTTTTTTCTGTAGCAACAATAGACTCAGTTTTCAAAAGCCGGAAGAGCTCAAGACTGAGAAAGTATGCTCTTTGATACCTGATTTTATACATTATCTTCAATACCTTCTGCTCCAGACATTTATTGTGGTGTTATCATAAGCATGCAAATATACAGACCTACAATTTTATAGTATATGTGCTGCCGAAGCGAGCACAGACCTACAATTTTATAGATCATACTTAGGTATTCTGCCTAATATCCACCCAAATAAAATAAAATAGAAAGTCCTTCTGTTATTTCCATTTAAGTAAGGGCTTACATTTCATCTATGTACATTTTTTTTATCCATCCTAGGTTCCTACAGCCTGCCTATATACCTTATGAAGCACTGCTCTGAATTAAAATGTTTATAAGGGCATGATGACAAATTTGCACTGATTTACATGAGATACTGATTTTTGTGAATGTGGGTTAGATTACCGGTGTGCTATAAGGTCAAAGGTCAGAGAGGCTTTATTTGGATCACACCTATTTTCTGACTTCATCAAGACCTGACCTCCTCATGGAAGGAAACATTTAAAAACACATAAAGGCCAAGGAGGCACTGGTTTAATCAAAGGGTCTTGTCCTGTCTGAAAAGGACCCACAGAAACTCAGTCAGAAGTTACCTGTTTCACCTCTGAGTGGAGATGGGTGGGGATGGGCAGATGGGGGGTGGACTGGGAAGAAGTTTTCCAGTTTGTCCTTTCATGCATTTTGATGGTAGAATCATGTGAATGTATTACATATTCAGAACTTAAATAAATACAATGTAAACATTTTTTAAAACACCCCCACCAAATACCCATATTTTGATAGTTATGGTAAAATATTATTTGAAACAGATTTTGCTTCTTTATCAACAATGTTGGTGCAGAATATTATATTACAGAATATTACAGAATAAAGAGAAAAAAGGAGAAAAGAGTGAGGGATGTCATTTGATATAATTTGAGAGTTTCTACTTGCAAACACTAGTAATCATTGTTGCTGTATTTAGTGCAAAGTATTAGGGACTTAATCATAGTAGAGTTCTTTGTAATCATAATTTAATTATTCAACACAATTTCTTTCTCAGGGTAGGCCTAAATCATTTCTGGAATGTTAAGTAATATAAGAAAAAGTTAACTAACTTATTAAGATATAACATCAAGGCAATGACAAGAATTAATTTATTTTTTTTTTAAATGTTTTATTTATTTCTAGGAGAGAGAGAGAGACAGCGTGAGCAGGGGAGGGTCAGAGAGAGAGGAAGACACAGACTCTGAAACAGGCTCCAGGCTCTGAGCTGGCAGTCAGCACAGAGCCCGACGCGGGGCTTGAACCCACGAACCGTGAGATCATGACCTGAGCGAAAGTCGGACGCTTAACCGACTAAGCCACCCGGGCGCCCCCAAGAATTAATTTAAAGTGATATCTAAAAATTCTTAGTTTATAGACCCTCAGTTTATAAGATCAGAACTTGCTGTTGCCAAATTTCACTTTTATTTTCAAAATAAGGAAAATTTTCATATATAAGGAAGGTGCAGGAGACTATACGATTTCATGCTGGCTATTAAATATTACCTATTTGGCTAAAATTTCACTTAGCAGGGATGCGGTCTTTTCTTGAATACCAACATTCCTGAGATGTTTTCTGTGCTGACACCTAAATGGGATTTAATCTCAATTGTTCTTTATAAGAATTCCTACTGAAGAGCGCCCACTGAAAATTATCATGGAAACTCCATTCTGCTGCATGACACAGCTCAGAAGGCATATGGGGACAGGTGTCCAGATGAAGGCGCCATGCTTGACTGTGAACTGTGGGGCAGGGCATGCCAAGCACAGCTGTAAGGAACAAGGAATTCCCCGGGCTCTGTTCTTCTCATTTGTCATCAGCAGGGAATGTGTATCAGTTGAAATCAAATCTGGTTAGGATTAGATTTCAACTGCAGATTCTCTCAGACATGGTTAAGGAGGTTTAAAACTCTGGGTGCTCTAAAGATCAGTCAAAAATGTGTACATTATTTAAAAGGAGGTTTATTTCTTCTCCCATGGGGGGAGAAATCAAATGAAAATAGATTAAAGAGTTCTCTCACTCTCTCAGAGCTTAACATTAGTTATTTTCCAATAAAAAGTTAGAGGAACATCTGAAAAAATGTTTCAAAAGCATGGCGCTTTGCTTATGGTCAGTTGGTCTCTATCTCTTTCAAAGTACTGTCGTTGTCAGTATTCAATTTAATAACATTCCTTTCTGGAAAAGTATTATTAGTCCAAGGAAACCTTCATAGGGAATCAGAATAAAATGGCATAGACCATGGATCAAAGGTCCAATCACAAGAAACTAAAGACAATAGAGTAGATATACATGAAAGCACATGTTTGGAAATGCTACGAGGTTGCTTTTCCATGACACTGATATTTAACAGCATCAGAGCCATGTTACTAACCATGGAGGGTGTCACTGCAGTTCTGTGGACTCATAAAATATGGGAGGCTTGTGTTATCCACAGATAATCAATACTGAAAAAGGATGAGGAAATTGAGTATACTTATAAGGAAAAGAGTTAGTTTGAGACTTTATTTTAAAAGACAAAACTAGAAATTGTAAAACTGTTCATGAGTTAACCAAATATTGGCTATAACTGGATTCATGTACAAGTTCCCACAATGAACAAAGTCTAAATCAAATAGAATTTCTTTGGGGGGAAAAAGGGTAATTTTTCTAACAAAATTATATGATAGCTTGATGTCCTTCACTTCACTTTTTACTTTCACAACCTAAGTAAAAAAGATAGTCTTTTTGTAAATGTATTTTGCAAACCAAAGACTCTCACCTAATTTTTTTTGGTCCCTTAATCTTTTTATTAAATCATGAAACCATTTGATTTCAACTCATTCTCATTTGAAACACTTATCAGGGAATTATACTAATTCTTTACACATTGCCAGAAAACCACAACCCACAGCTGTGCACCCACACCATTCCCCTAACTTCATGCAATCCTGTGTCTTGCAAAACTTGTGGCTTTGCTCCATAATCAATTTGTTCAATATCCAAAAGCCTGGGGTTCACACTAACACACAGGGGTAGATGAAAACATCCAACTAGAAGGAATGTTTGAGCAAGGACCAGTTTTAAAAACAGTCAGGTTCTTAGTGGATATTTCTGTGTTATGATGATGTTTGCCTTCCTATACAACCTCATTCTATGGAAACTCAAATAATGAAAAATTTGGATTATGAGGACCAATTTTCAAACCTATTTTAAAGTAATTTTTTTAGACTGAAAGTCTACCAAATGGTAATCTACTGATGTTCTTTTTAGAACTTCATGCTGCAAGACTCAGAGAGCACAGGAGGACCTACTGAGTGAATTATTAGTGTATATCCAAAGCAAAGAATCTGGAAATTTTAGTTTAGGAAATTTTAACATTTATTCTTTTTTTTTTTCTTTTAATCTGTTTCAGGGAACAACAAGGAGGCCTTAGTTACTAAACAAGAATTAAACAGTTTCTTCCCTTTTTCAGCTAAATAAAGCACTGAAATATTATGAACTACTAAGAGCATTTCCTCATTTATAGGCACTCTTCTTTCCTTTGTAACTTAATAAATACTGAGGCTGGACCTAAGCTAGCATTATAAAATAGTATAAGACTCTGCACTACAAATATTCCTTAAATATCTGTGTCTATGATTACCAGTCATACAGTTTCATAAACGGATGACTTTTTAATATTTTTATTATTTTATTTTTTAATTTAAATTTTAGTTAACATATAGTGTAATTTTTGTTTCAGGAGTAGAAATCAGTGATTCATCTCTTACACACAACACTCAGTGCTCATCACAAGTGCCCTCCTTAGTATGCATCACCCATTTACCCCCACCCACCTCCCTCCATCAACCCACAGTTTGTTCCCTATTGTTAAGAGTCTCTTGTCGTTTATTTCCCTCTCTTCCTTTTCCCCCACTTCCCATTTATTAATCTGTTTTGCTTCCTAAATTCCACATAGGAGTGAAATCATATGGTATTTGTCTTTCCCTGGTTGACTTATTTCACTTAGCAAAATACATTCTAGCTCCATCCATGATGTTGCAAATGGCAAGATTTCATTCTTTTCAATAGCTGAGCAATATTCCATTGTGTATATATATATATACCCCATCTTCTTTATCTATTCATCAGTTGATGGACATTTGGGTTCTCTCCATAGTTTGGTTATTGTTGAGAATGCTTCTATAAACACTGGGGTGCATGTACCCCTTCAAATCTGTATTTTTGTATCCTTTGGATAAATACCTCAGAGTGTAATTGCTGGATCATAGGATAGTTCTATTTTTTAGTTTTTTGAGGAATCTCCATACTGTTCTCCTGAGTGACTGTACCAGTCAGTTTGCATTCCCACTGACAGTGCAAGAGGTTTCCCCTTTCTAGATGGACGACTTTTAAAAATCTACAACCATATAACTGCTCATTGAATATAACTCTTAAGAATTATATTCTCAGAGGATATATAAACCAAGCAAGGACTAGACCCAAACATTTATAAATTATAACAAAATTTATTTGCAATAGAGTTGTAGGTTTACCTGAGATTGTGCATTGACATTGGCTCCATTTGTGACCAAGACTTTTACCACTTCTGCTTGCCCAGCCAAAGATGCTATATGTAAGGCTGTGTTCCCTTTCTGTAAAATGAAAAGAGACATCAACTCACCCTCTTTATCTCTTTGTTTCAATATTTTATAAAATATCGAATCCCTCTGTTTCTAAGTTTCCCAAAGAGAACATGGTTGGTTGACAAATATCTCATGAGAAGCTTGCCCTGATTCTTATCAAAGGTGAATCCGCATTGAATCTGTCAACTGACATAAAGATCATTAAATATGTGACACTGACCTTTGTAGCTGCATCCACATTGGCTTCTCTCTGTAGCAATTCAGAAACAACTTCTACATGGCCTTCTTTAGAAGCAAGATGGAGAGCGTTCAACCCATTCTGATTAAGAATGAAGGGGAAAATTTACTCAGTAGATTGAGAATAGAGCAGCAAACAGTCTACTTAGAACTCTGAAGATAATATCCCATCAACAATTACTTGTATGTATGCAGTATAGAATCTTGAATTAGGAATAAAGGTACTTCAAAATTAGGTGAGTTGTTCTGGTATCATTATTTACTGAATTTTAGGAATTCTTAAAGAATGCATATCTACATTTCTGAGTGCTCCTTTAACAAAGCAGAGTAATTTGAAAATCTGACTGATGACATTTAACCAGGAAAAAAAAAAGGGCAAAAAAGAGAAAGTTTCGGTAATAACTAATGAAAGATTCAAAGAGTTTATAGACTGGATTTAAAAAATCTTAATTAAACAATTAAACAGCAACAATAACCACAACTAACCTGGTTGCAAATGTTGATGTCAACCCCATTTTTTATGTAGTCAAGGGCCTTTTCGAGGTGTCCAGCTCGAGCTGCTCTTAAATAACTTGCATTGGCATCAGACTAAAAGAAAAAAGAAAAACATCTTGATGAAAAATGAAACTCATATACATGTTAGAACAATTCAGCACATAGTCCAAACTAAAAAGATATTTAAAATCAATAATTTTAAATTGAACTATTGTTATTTCTAAAAAGATTTTTAAGATCAATCTTTTTAAATTGAACTACTGTGTTTCTAACATTAAAATACTCTAAAAGGTCTTTGTAAAGTCACCAGGAAAAGGATAAATCCTTGAAAAGTTAGTTTCAAGTATACAAAGTTACCACTTGTGTGATGTCATAACTGATCCTGAACTGAAAAAGAAAATTTCCCATAATATATAGGAGCCTTAAATCAACATACAATTCCTAAAGAGTCAAGAGAAATCCTATCACTTCCTGGTGGTTTCATTATGAAAATCTCACTATTCTTTTTTTTTTTTTTTCCTAGGAGGGAGAGAGAGAGAGAGAGAGACAGCGTGAACAGGGGAGGGTCAGAGAGAGAGAGAGTCACAGACTCTGAAACAGGCTCCAGGCTCTGAGCTGGCAGTCAGCACAGAGCCTGATGCGAGGCTCGAACCCACGAACCGCAAGATCATGACCTAAGTGAAAGTCGGACGCTTAGCCGACTAAGCCACCCAGGCGCCCTGAAAATCTCACTATTCTAATTTACAGAAATTTAATATCTATTCCATTCTTTCATATTTAACTATCCCAACCAATTTTTCAATCCAAGCTTCACAAATATATTTAATGTTGTTCTACTAGTTAAACAGGAATTTGTAGGATGTTCTCTTGGATTTTCCTACAGCACAAAGCCACGTGTTAGAACATAGGATGTATGTGAAAAGCATTTATATATGTCTGTACAAATTGTAAAGAGCATTTTCCATACATTTTGAAGCAAGCTAAGGCCACTACCTAAGAAAACTATTAGGAACATTAGCAAGAGCAAATAGATAAATACATAAAAACTGAAAAACAACAAAAACCAAATTTGTAACTCATTCACTGAAAGCTTACAACTGCCTTTCTGCTAAACACTAGGACTTCTGATTGTGGGGTTGATACCACCTATACCAGTGAAATCTTTAATGGAAAGAAGGTAGTGAGAGGAAAGACTTCAAAGTTGGATCTGCACAATTTGTAAAGGAGTCTTGCTCAGTGTAAAACAACACAGAAGCAGGATTTTCTGAAATGGTAGCCAAAAACATCTCGTCATTGGTTATCAATGCAATCATGCAGGATATGGCTTAAATAACAGAGGAAATTGTCTTCTTTCAGCCATTTGGCAAATACCTTCAAAGCCCCTGTTCACAGGCCACCTCATCTGGAAAGCCTTCCCAGACAGCCCGGGCAGATTAATTGCTCAGTGCTCCCAAAGCATGAATTTCATTGAACTGTCTTGGTATTTCTCACACAGCATTAACGTTTTTGGTATATCTGTCCTTCTTCCTCCCTAAATTGTAAGTCCCTTAAGAACAAGGGTAGACATGTGGAAAGCCGGCAAGACGCCAATCTTTGAGGAGTGCTACTTCATCCTTGGAAAGGTAATTGTGACAAAGGAAATTCCACTCTCAGAAGAGTCTTTGGTTCTGGTGTGGGTCAATTTAGTTAGGACTCGATTTGCTCAGGTCTTCAAAGGAGAGGCCACCATTTCTATGCTGTCCACTCTCCTCATTTACAGCAGTACACCTCTCTCTGAAGAAGTATTGCTTTGGGGCGCCTGGGTGACTCAGTCAGTTAAGCGTCCGAGTTCGGCTCAGGTCATGGTTTCATGGTTCGTGGGTTCGAGCCCCGTGTCCGGCTCTGTGCTGACAGCTAGCTCAGAGCCTAGAGCCTGCTTCAGATTCTTTATCTCCCTCTCTCTCTGACCCTCCCCTGTTCACGCCCTCTCTCTCTCTCTCTCCCTCTCTCAGAAATAAATAAAAACATTTTAAAAAATTAAAAAAAAGAAGTAATGCTTTGTCTAAATCATGCCTTCCCAATCTCAGCACTATTGGCATTTTTTAAAGAAAGATGTTATTTTATTTTATGTAATCTTTACACCCAACATGGGGCTCAAACCTACAACCCCGAGATCAAGAGTTGCATGCTCCACCAACTCAGCCAGCCTGGCACCCCTACTGGCATTTTGATCCAGGGAATTCTTTGATGTGGGAGATGGTCCTGTTTGGTGTCAATGTTTACTAGCATCCCTGGCCTCTACCAACTATCACCTATTTGTGACTACTAAAAATATATCCTGAGTTGCCAAATTTCCCTTGGCAGTTGGGGAGGAGGGATTTCCCCAGCTGAGAACCACTGCTCTAAATAAAGAGAAAACCAATTTGTTATTACAGATTGTAGGCCTGCCTGAGTTATCACATGCCTTGACCTTTCCCAGGCCAGTTACTATATGTATAACATTCATCTTTTTGTTTCCCCTGCAATTAGAAGCATCCTGGCACATAGCCGGTGCCTAAAAATGGTTTTGTGAATGAATGAATCAATAAATAGGTAAATTGTATGGAAATAACTGTATTAATTAAAATATTGCCTGCAACAATTCAGGAAGTTTTATTCACAAGAGCAGCAGCAGCAGCTATTTAAATGGAGAAACCTGCTAAAATACAAAGCTGACTGCCAGAGATGATAAACTAAGCCATTGAATTGGGTATCTGGGAACACACGTAGCTATTGCTAAAATAAAATTGGGATGTGAGTCAAGCATGCAAATCATTTAATCAGAGCAGAGGGTCAAGTAAGAGGAGGACAAGAGATACAGCTTCAAATTAGACAAAGGACAAACCAAAGTTTCCAGGAATTTTAAGAAAAATAAAATACATTTTTTGTAGAGGCTTGCTACTTTGAGATGGTGGTGGTGGTGGGCTTGTCTGGTTTAAAGTTCAGTTAGAAATAAATTAGCTATGTGAGGATGGCTCATTGTACCATAAAACATCATCTTCTTTGTGCCTGCTCAATGACTTATCAGTGAATTTGCCCAGAAGGGCTCTGAGGCTGTTCTGGGAACAAATTACATCACTATTGGATATTTCAACTGCCAGAGATAACAACTGTGAGTTAAGCATCCCCAATTCTGACTCTGAGTGCAAAAAAACAGCCACTAAAGAAGTTCAAACAGGGGTATCATAATTCAAGGAAAGCCTTCGAGTTGATTCCACATCTGAAAAGCTTTGACAACTATATACTGTCCATTTTCCTCTCTGAAATTTTCTCATCAGAATTTCTAATGCAAAACAAAATACAACAATATAAAACAACTCTTCTAATCCAGTGCTTCTCTACCTATTTGGAGTTCAGATTCTTTTGAGATTAACTATAGTTACAAAAAAATTATTTTCCTTCAACAATTGCACATATATACACACATACACCAAATCTGCATATACACATCAAACCTGCACATGCATACCTAATTTGTACACTGATTTCATGTGGCTTGGGATTGCCAACCCTGCTCATGGATTCACGTTTAAGAACATGTTTAAGAACATGAATCCATGAGCAGTAAATAAGTGATTATAAGTTTTCCAGTGAATACTTTCACTGTATCTGTTTCACTCAGTGACCCTGGTATCAAATAATTCTCTAAGGTAGCTAACTTATCACCTGAGAACTTTAAGAGAAAGAGAAGAAACAAAAATTTATTTTCTTCACTTTTCTCAGCCCTCTGTTACACACAGGCATGCTTAACACACTGATACAGAACAATCAGCTACTTTAGACTTCAAAGAAAAAGTATGGGGGATAAAAAGGGAGGAAAATACAAAGAAAAAGCAAGAGGAGGAAAATGAAATCTGCCTTGAAGAAAAATGACAACATAGGGAGTGCGGTTATTCCTGTCTTCAGAAAGAGAACCAAGAAGATCCTCTTTTTATTCTCAACCATCTGCAAATAATGCAGCTGCATCTTCCTTCTACAAATGTTTGCTGAACACTGATGGGGCCCTAGTCAATGCTGATAATTGGCTGCACAGAAGTGAGCGAAACAGACAGGTGCAGGTGAAGGCTCACTTTCACCTCAGTCTTAACACTTTACCAAATCATGTTGCTGAAGTAGCAGGGTAATAATGGATTCTTCCCTATTTTTTTCACCAAATTCTATCTGTAGTACCTATATGATGCTCTTTATCTCCTTAATGTTAAAAATTATGTATTTTATATTTGGCTCAATATCAACGTGTTGTGTCTCTTAGCTGTCATTTCATCAAAAACTTGGGAGTTACTCTACACAGGCTATAGCCTGGTTTTTAGTCTTAAGCATGCTATCAAAACAGTGCCTCTTAAAGCCAGTTGTAGACAAAGCCGTATGGAAGGAAGGAAATCAGGTCTCATGAGAAGGTGAACTTTCCCACGTGAAAAGTCATACAGAGGAGATCATTGCCTCGTGAGTCAGTTGGCACAAAATGAATATAAGCAGGTCAGCACTTTTTTCCCCAAGATGATCAAAATCTGAAGGCAGAATCTGGAAAATTATAATGTCTTTCATCACCATTTCATGTCTACTTAGTCATTTTACTAGACAGGAAAGAAATATGAACCACGTGTGTTTTTCAAGGAAATAGCTTCAAGGATAGAGTCAAGCATTATTATGGATTAATCTAATAACTCAGCATTTCCACCTATGCTGGAATATTGATATTATTCAGCAGAAAGCAGTGACTGGAATGAATAAGCATTTCCTGAGTGCCAACCTAAGTAATAAACTAATACCTCATACCTCTGACTCTATGCTAGACACTATTACAAGTACTTACATTAACCTCATTATATTAGTCACTTACTATGTATTAATTCCATGAGTTCTTATATTAGTTTACTTCTTATAATATGTCCATGAAGTAGTGTAGTGAGTTGTGTCTCCCCAAGATTCATGTCCACTTGTAACCCCAAAGGATGGCATTATTTGGACATAGTAGTATCTTTGCACATATAATTAGTTAAGATGAGGTCAGACTGGATTCGAATGGGCCCTAAATCCAATGACTGATAGTTTTAGAAGAAGAGAAAATATGTAAC